CATTTTGACTCAACTGCTGACCAATCTCAGAATTCGACTGGCTTTGGGACAATAATTGGTGATCACTATCAATGGAGTTCGACTCATTTCGTTGATCAGTGGTGATCGATTCGTTTTGGGGATTAACCAGGTCGTTCCCTTTGTGCTTTCTCGCCAAATGTTTTTTCATGCTATCCAATCTTGTGAATTTGTCCACACAATAATGACAATTGAAAACTTTTTCGTCATGACTATCCATATGCCGCTTCAATCCATAGGCCCACTTGAATTTCTTGTTGCATTGCTGACAAGCAAACATCTCAAGACGTAATATATTTTTCTTCCTACTATGATGTTAACAGTATGAAGTCAGGACAACAACTGACATCTTTATAAACCCGACACTAACCATACCGTCACATCATTCACACCGCCATCCACACAGCCATGCACACCTCCACACTACCATTCACACCACCATTCACACAGTCCCACCGCCATTCCCACCGTCACACCGCCATTCACACCGCCACTACGCTATTCACACCGCCATTCACACCGCCACACTGCCATTCGCACCGCCACACTGCCATTCACACAGCCATTGACGCCTGTCATACTACCACTTAACCCCGTCACTCATATAGAGTGACGTTTTTTTTTGTGACGCATGCGCACACCTCTTTCAAAATGATGGCCTATTTGATTCGCGAGAATTTGTACAACACTTGCAACTCACATTATGTTTCAGTTTCACCACTTTCAGTTACTTCCAACCACCACTGCGCAACAACAGAAGAGGGCCACGACACCATTGAAATAACAAGAAGGGGAATAAAAGACATATAGAAGGGCAATGAGGTGTGTTGCTGTCTGTACGAGAAGCCTACGAGTCTCACTGAAGTGTGCTGCTACCTGTGAAAGTACAAGGAGGAGGAGGAGACAGCTTGATGAAGTGTGAAGGGTGGGTTTTTGAAAAAACAAAGTAGGTATTTTATTTAGTGCAATAAAATCGTGAGAGTCACTCCTCCAAACGTCTACATACATTTTAATGAACATCGACTATTTATTTGAAACAATTTAGTTGAGGTCGGCATTTCCATGCTAATATTATATATCTCGAAAATTGATGCATTTTTCAACACACATGCCTGAACATCATACTGAACACTCGTGACTGAGACAGCATACATGTGACAATTGAAATAAAACAAAATGGTATTTAATCGTTTATTCGTAAAGTGATATAATTCTTGTTAACATTGTTTTCAATTGATGAAGTAATCCATCATTGGGGCAGGATATTCCAAAGACGCTCCAACTGAACGGTTCGGCTTTCACTACCCGTCTATTATATTCACTATATTTGTAGTATGTATTTCTATCGAAAAAATATATATTTCCATCGATATAACGAAAAGCTGATATTATGCCTGCTGGAATTCCTGGGAAGATGTGACTAAGTGGCCCACGGTTGCTCATGTCTCCATTGTCATCAAATGTAATGTAAGAATCGTTGTTATATAACAAATAAGCCTGTCCACTGTTTGTCTGGAAGACAGCATTAATTTTTGCTTTAGAAGGCAAAGGAAAACGAAAGTTTTGGTGGATTTGAAAATTCGGAAAAGATGCTGCATAATACATGCTATCATTTATAAATGTCACTAGATTACCCACAGAATTTTGGAAAACATGTGAAACTCGAGAAGACTTTAAATCTTCAGGAAGATAATCATCAAGCAGCTCTGGCTGTGATGGAATTCGCATATCGTTCAAATCGAACTTCCACAAAAATCTATTGTATCCCACGTACATGCGATAATTTTGAAACTGGGGTGCTGTGGCTAGAAACATAAAGTCTGGCACTTGAATGTCGCATAATCTTGTTGGAGTTATCTGAGGCTTTGAGGTTGTGCTAGTAACGTCTACGTTATGGGGTTCATTTGACGACACTGATGAAGCTGTGGTAGAGGTGTGCTGGGATATCGGTTTTTGGGATTCGGTTGTCTGTGTTGTTGAGGTTGTTGTTGGTTGATAGTTTTCAGTTTTCTGCCCATACAAATATTCTATCGCCCTCTTATCATCTATATCGAATGATGCTGGACTTGCTTGATACCAAGGATACATAATAGCTGTATTGACGCCACTGTGGCCCAGCCTAAGAGCATGGCCAATTTCGTGAATCAGGACCATCAATAAATTAGTTTGGCCGTCAGGAGAAGTACTATTTCCAAGATACCATTTTTCTTCTGCATCGAGATGAATCTCGACACATTTGTTGTTTTCATTTGGGAAATATGCATGAGCTAAAACTTTTCCAGGGCCGTCGAAATTATGTGGACACTTGGAAGTGCCTTGGCAGTCTGCTCGGAAATTGTGATTTTTTCGAATAACAGTTATGGTAATATCAGGTTTCTGTCTGCTAGGGTTTCGCACATTTTCAAACTTCAAATTCGATATTTCCTCCCACCTATCGAATGCCATCTTGGCTGTATCACGATGCACCTTTTTAGCTTGAGGAAAATACCAGTGTAACTTGGTTTTGTTCCATTTCGAATGTATCATGAAATTATTTTCTCCTACAGAACAACGCGGACTATTCAGCAGTCGTAGAGTTTCGTTATTCAGCGATCCACTCACAGGGAGATTGTATGTCTCTTGAAATGTCATTAATGCTGATTCTATATCGGTGACAGCATTATCCGTTGTATTTATGTAGCCGAAACGCTTCAAAAAGGCACCTGCATATTCTATCGTATCATTGCCAGTAGCGGGAACTGGCGCGATGATTGAAAGCAACAGCAGCAGCACTTGCTCACTCTTCAACATCTTGATTGGTACTGATCAATAGGGAGACGAACATGATTATTATGCTCCTTCTAATCTTCTCCGAACTGAAAATGCCAATGTTATACAGGGTGGCTCGAAAAGAAATACCTTTTTTCAGTGGGGCACCATATGTATAATATTCCTAAGTGTTGATTATCCCTGCCAATATTAACATGATGTCAACATGACATAGAGGTCTTGATCATTCAGTGGCACTATATTATTATATATTGCTGTACGAGTTAAAACATACCATAGGAAGAATAAATAAATTTGCTATACCGAATGTCTGAAATGGAACATAACCTCAAAGAGCTTTGTCTAGTATTGATGTATGATAGCGTTTTTGGTCATCTGTCAAATGTCAAACGTCAGGCCATGAGTGCCCTATGTGAGTTTGTATTGCTATTATTGCTGTATATCAAACGGATACTCTATCATACGTATGTTTTGCTGAGTGTACCTGTGAGACGCCTTATTTCTTATCGCTATTGCTAACTCAAACATCCAGTATATTAAATTATTAGGTAGCGGTACTTGCAGGTCATCACGTCGTGTCATCAATCCTTTGTCTTATGTAATACGTCAGCTGTCTAATCCCGCAAAAGTGGGTGAGGCGTCCAGTATATTTTTTTTGACTGTTATCCAACTCAAACGCCCTGTATATATCATGTTATAGCGGGTAGCCTTTATATGTAGGTCGGACCGGTATAACGCCTTTTTGGGTTCACCCTATATTTTTTTCTCAACTATTACCCAACTCAAACACCCTGTATATAACCGTTGTTGAAAAATGGAATAAAATGCGCGCCGTTATCTCTAGAACGGATCTATCGCAGTCCAACCGATGATGACGACCCGTTCGCTAGGCCGCGAGTAGCTAGCCGAGTCAGGCCGGCCTGTGATTGGTCGGCCGAGTCACGTGGTTTGGAGAAAAGTGGAGGGGAGGGGCTGGACTGGGGTGCCGGACTACCTACTGGGGTTGTACACACTAGTCGAATTTACGACATATATCTATTTTATTTTGATCATTCCATTTCCATTAAATTTTTTTCTATAATCAAAGTAATAACTCTCAAAAACAGTTGCTCTCGATGACGTGACATACCGATTGGCACTATTAGTATTTTATTGCTCAAATTCCAATAAAAATATTTTCACACTCTACATAGAAATAAGAATTCACTTTCACAGTAAGACTAAGAGTACTAAAATGTACACAAAACAAATCTACGAACCCATAGTTCACTAACAATTTTAGGACAAAATGTATGGAAGCGTCTTTCTTGTCTGGTTATCTCACCGACATAAATGAGTAACTAGACCGCTGATGCCATGAGATCAAAGCGCATTCCTTTACGAGATCTAACTTGGTTTAATTGAACGGGCGCATTCAGGTCCTGTCATATATCTTACTCACTCTTACATATTTTTGCAAACACCGAGAGACATGACTCCATAACTCGATGTGATGAACGACAGTTTCTGCGCATTGAGCAAAAACGTTTTCAGGCCAGCAATTCGTATGAGATTTTTGGGTTGCTGGGATATGACATATAGCGTTCTAGTTAGTAATTATGTCAGTGATCTTTCTCTCGATCCACATCAATATGCGTTACAGAGATATAGTTTGACATGCACAATTGGCATTATTAGAACAAAAATCAATTTGAAACTTCTGTTCTCATGGAACGACGAATTCGATCATTATGTGAGTGCATCTATAGAAGTTCTGATTGAGTACGTTTGAAAAGGATTTAATTAGAAGGAAATGTATATAAGATCGTCGGAATCCAGAAAGACGATTGTTATTTGTTATACAATAGTTATGGAGACACTGATTACTTGGATTTCTCAGATCATATGGACGTCAAGAAAGCATGCTGAAGCCAATAGTGTACCGTGGGAGGTAGATTATCCCTCTCGTGTTAGTAAATTGACAAATTTGTTTCAGTAAATGAGGAAACAAACGCCTACTTTCCATTACATTGTTCAAGACCTCTCAATCACACTATTCCTGCAATGCTAATATACGAAACCACGATAGACACAATTATAGATTTATTTTTGTTTACAACCTCAGAAATAGCATGGCAATAAACAGTTTCTTCACGTTTCCAATGAAGGTTGATCTCTCGAGCGATAAAAAAGCATGAAACGGTGACTAATATTTATATATCAAGAAAACTCACCCCGGTCTTTCGCTTATTCCATTCGAAATGTTAACGACTGGCCTGATGTTGCCACTCTGAACTTCGACATCCGAAGGTTTCTCTCGCACCATTATCTGGATGGGTTGTACATCAGTAGTGATCACAGATCTGCCGTTACTGCTCAGCTTGCGCTCTGGAGTGATCAGCTTCTGGATATGTTTCTGTACTTCCAGTTCCAGCGCCTTGGAGCTGAGCACGTGTTCGATCTGCTTATAGTTGTTGGTCACGTGATTCGTTACCACTTTGTCGCCGTTCTTTGGGAGCGGCTCAACTGTTGGTAAGGCTGTGGTAGCGTTTTTCGTATCGAAAGCTGCGTTGTTGTTCGTCTTGTTGGCCTCGTTGGCCACAGATATGACAGCGTTAGCTGCAGGAGATAGCTTGGAGAATCCGCGTTCTCTCATCAAGGTTTGCGTATCCAGAACAGTGTCGTTCATTTTGTTCATCGCATTGGAGACGCTGGTGGCGCTAAGTACGCGCCCATCTATCATGGGCGATCTAGGTTGCGGTTTCTCAACGTGGTCGATATAGTTCAGATTCGTTTCAATTTTCAGAGGTTTCACTACGGTAGATGTGGTACTCGAAACTGCTGTTGCTGTAGACGGTACAGTTTCTGGTTTGATTTCTGTGTTTGCTTTAGGGATAACTTCATCTTTGGATGTTGGCGAAGTGCTCAGCTTAGTAGGTCCACTATTAGTTTCACTTTCAGCTTTATTTGTATCAACATTGTTAGTATTTTTAATATTTATAGAGTTTACGCTACTAGATTTATCAGAGTTATCCTTATTATCATTTTTATCGTTCACTTGGTCTCTGTTAGTCACTATACTCTTATTTTGCGAATTGTTATTATTACTTGGAACTGCTCCTGCGACACTTTTACTAATTTTACCTTTACCCGAGTTTCTAGTATTCGCGGTACTCACAGAACTGTCACTGGTCGAATTGTAGTTGTTCTTGCTATAGTTCCCTGTTTTAGGTAGTAAATTTGGTCTAGAATCAGTTCGCATTCTGTTGACACTTCCTTTTCTGCTTAGAGTGGTGAATTTTGGTTTGGCTGGTTCAGAATCAGATTGTTCACTAGACACATCTGGTTTAGGAAGCACTTTTTGTTTAGGATTGTTATAAGAGTTCACTTTAGCTTGGACATTTTTGTATTTAGATAAGGGTATTCTGGATGGTGATGTTGGAGCTTTCGTCGGACTGGGTTCTCTACTGGCAGTTCGTGATGGATTTCTTGAAGAGTTCCTGGACTGTGTTCTGGATTGGCTGCGGGAGCGTACCACAGAAGAGGTGGATAATGGTGGTTTGCTCAGGATGGAGGAGTTAATTCTAGATGGGGATGGTTTCCTGCTTGGCGGAGTACTCTGACTTCTTGGGATTCTAGAAGGGGAAGACATCGACTGGCTTGGTTCTGGGGAGCTGCCTGCAATGGAAAGATATAATGTAAATAAATCAAAGTGGCAAAAATTGACAAATGTCTACAAACCGGAATAGATGAAGAGTATTCATTGAATTGATTTGAAGGTTTTATACATTTTACTGGATATCATCAATCCACTTTTCATCATATTATCACCAATACCCACGGTTACAAAAGTAAATATTGCTCTGTACTTGAAGATTTGGAGAGTTATGACAAAATACCCAAATGAAAAAAATATACCTACAACACTATGAAAATATTTCAACATTCCTGTATGAATACAAGTAAATATAAATGGTAAATATTATGATATTAGTGATTGTTGAAGCAGGTATGCTTATGAGAGAAGCCTCACGATATCACTTCGCAGTTTCAAAATATTGAAATAGGAGTTGTATCAAATAAAATCAGCGCCAAATTAGGAGAATGTTTGTATTACTTGAGTATATTATATCGGGTGGTCTACTTGAGACTATTCACTCCCTATGGCACTGGAAACAGCGTAATGCCTAGAGTTTCCACATGAACAAGAAGAGAAGAAGACCAACTATTTTGTCAACCTAACTTCCGAAAGTCACCCTCATCTTCAAATTCTTGTTCCATCTAGTCAAGATGCGAATATTCAAAGATATTACTCTTGATCATCTGATTCTTCAGTTGTGTGTTGAATTCTCTGCAGTAAGTATTCAGTCCAGAAAATTCACAAGAGTCTAAAGCATTTTTCATATTTTGATTGAAATGACAATCAGAAGTTTTCTTGCACTTGTCTTACTGACAAGGGGAATAGATACGTATTTTTTTCATGTTTTGGTTCCCAGGGAGAAGGATATCCTGTAATGTTCAGAGAACATCGTGAGAACCAAGGGAAATAAGGTAGGCACTGGTGATCTTATTGAATTTATGGAGGTTAAATGCCTCGAGGAACATCTCCCTTGACAATGTGTTCCAGAACCTCGCTGTTCGTTAGATGAACGAGTCTTCGAAATGAGATGATCCGCAGGTCTACAAAGTGACCACGAAAGGGTGCGAAGCCTCAAGTCGACGGGTAAATCGCGTGGGGATTGCCAAGGGAGAAACAATTGTTGATAATTCAGAAGAGCATCGTCCATGAAAATATCTATAAAATACAGCCAGATCGCCAACTTTTCCACGGTGCTCCAGACAAATGAGTGAGTTTGTGAGCGAGGCATCATCCACGAGACGAATTCCCCTTTTTTGGACAGAATCTAACAGTTTCAGGATATGTTTGGGTGCTGCCCACCAAATATGGGAACAGTATTCCTGGACAGGTTGGATCTGTACCTTATAGATCATAAGCAGTTGACTGGAAGTGAAATAGCTCCTGGCCCGAAACAAAAAACCAAGTTTTTGGGATGCACTATTAGCAATTGATCTCACGTGATTTTCCCAAGAAAGGTTATTGCTGATAGTAATACCAAGCCTCGAAATGGATGTCTTCAAAGATGGTTACTCCTGACAAGCTTATGTTGGCCACAGTAAGATTGGATTTTCTAGAGAAAAGGCATGCTTGTGTTTAGTTTGCATGGAAATCTACCAAGTTATTGGATCCCCATTCGAGAATTGTTGTCAAGTCCATATTTATGTTGTCAGCATTTCAACTTCGTTCGTTTTTAATATGCCTGGCTGGTATTGGAGCCCTGGAAGAGAAGGCGGTATGGAGGGTACTATCATCCGCGAAGCTGTGTACTGGGCATGAAGTTGCTTCCAACAAATCGTTGATATGGAGTAGAAATAGTGTTGGTGCTAGAATTGATCCTTGTGGAACACCAGCATATACGATGAGAGAGTCAGATGGAACTTCGTCGACCACTACGTGGAGAGACCTGTTTGAGAAAAAACTAGCTAGCAGAGAACATAGCTGGGGGGCAAGCCATAAGATGGAAGTTTGGCGAGGTGTTCGTGGTGCCAGACTCGATCGAATGCCTTGGAGATATCAAGTGCCATGGCTAAGGTTTCACCATATTTTTCAATATGTTGCTGCCATATATGTGAGACGTAAGCGAACAGGTCACCAGTTGATCTCTGATGACGGAAGCCATATTGTCTATCGTTGATAGTACCTAAATGTTCCAGGTATTTCATGAGCTCGATGTTGATAGCTTTCTCCATGATCTTTGAAATTATAGATAGCAGTGCGATCGGTCTGTAGTTGCTAGGTAGGGTCTTTTTGCTCTTTTTAGGAACTGGTTGTACTCTTGCAATTTTCCAGTTGGACGGGAATACCCGCAATTCGTAAGAGTAGTTGAACAACTGTAGAGAACAGGTGTTAGTTTGGGAGCACATTTCTTGAGAACAATCGGTGGGATTCCGTCGGAGCCACAAGCTTTGTTGGTGTTGTGACCCAATAAAATCTTCCTTATACGTTGGCGAAAGGTGATATCGCGCATATGACTGTCAATTGGCGTTATGTTTGCAGGTTGTTTTCCTGATGAATCCAGAGTGGAATTTCCAGCAAAGAATTGCGCAGAAATGTTAGCTCTCTCCTGGGCAGTTGTGGCTAGTGTTCCATCTTCCTTGGTTAGAGGATGAAACGAGCTGGAAAGTGAAGGTTCTTCCTACAGCTTTGGCGGAGGACTAAAATGAACGGGATCCGTTAGGACATTCAACAAGGTTTGATCTTATTTTGACATTATGAGCATCATTTGATGATCGAATTGTCTCGTTGCATATGCCTCTAGCCTCGATATATTCTGCTCTAGTCTCAGGGCCTGGATGTTTCTGTCATCGATGGAATGCTGCCTGTTTGGAAGCGACAGCTCTAGAGCAGTTTCTACTGAACCAGGCCTTATCGGAAGATGTCCTCCTCGCAGTGTTCGGTATGTAGGTTTGCATCCCCAACATGATGATTTCAGAAATTATATCAGCACATCGTGTTGGATCTGCTGAGGAGAAACAAACTCTCTTCCATAGAAACGCTGAAAAACACATATGAAGACCTTCCCAGTCGGCCGAATTGTAATGCCACATGAGACGGGTAGAAATTGTGGTGCTGGATGGTACATGGAAAGAGCAGGTTGTGGAGATGAGGGTGTGGTCAGAGTTTCCATGTGGGGCACAAACTTCAATGATTACTTCACGCGTTTTCCCGCCTCCTTCATGTTACGAAATATCGCGAATTTCTATTATTATTTGAAAAATGTACAGAGCTCTGGGGAAAAAGCTGTTCTTCGAGCAAACCGTTCTCAAGACATTTGGACTCGAATATTGCCTATACGTTGACTACTTATTTGTTGGGTACATTTTCTGTAAGAGTAATAATGAATTTTTTCTGCAACCGACACAGAAGTCGTCCATTGTAGTTCCAAAATTAGCTCTTGAATTGACGTTTTTATTACTGACACAAAAATAGGTATGTTGCCAGGCAACATATTTTGTTCTTAGCAGGTAAAGTTGAACTCTAGCTCTAAGGAAATAAAAAGGATGTACTAGACGTAATAAAGACGAATAAACAACATTGTTACGGTTGGTTATTTGGGTTGGGACGTATACCTGATTTGTTTCCGATTTCGGCGGATTTGGCATTTAATACCCATGCTGGTGCTACTAATACACCTCATTATAGTTATCAGTAGTTAGCTAGTATAGCAATTATACACATATCAGTTAAGTATTTTTGTTTTGATCAGAGAAGCCTACAAGATTCACATACTTTGCTTGATATGTATTTCATTCGTTATTCTCGGGATGGATAACTTTTTGAATAATCACGGCAAGCAATAGTTTTTTTTTCTCAAACAACGATATTGTTTACCTCTATTTGATTATCAAGTCAAAATTATTGTTGATATGCTCACTAACCTAACATTTTCCACGTCTAGTTCCTATACCTGGCACTGGCGCAGTATTTGCCATTAGAGCACCTGGTACATACACAAATATGTCACTCTGTGGTTGTATTCATATTGAAACTAAATTTCGAACATCCTTGAAAATTGAATAAACCTGTTGTTGATGCAGGTAGAATATTCTCACCTCACGGATTTTGCATTGATTTTGATTTGTTGCATTGCATACATATGGCACGGCATTGGTGGTTACTTCACATATTTATTTGAGTTAATTGTTTCGGTTGCAGAAAAAATAGCATGTTTCATTCGGATCAAGAGTGACTTTGTTTGACTCAGTGTCACTTTTGATCCTAATAAAACAATCTACTATTACCTATTATTGGAGAAAGCCTTCGGATCCCCGTTGCCTCAGTATACGCATGCCTCCTCGCGCCCTGCTTCGTTCCTTGATCCACCCTCGCATCCAGATCAGACAAGCTCTGGCTCAGCTTGCTGCTAATCCTTCTTCTCCCCCCGTACCTCTGCCCATTCCCCCCGTTTGCGCCCCTCTTCTGCGGCATCGGGATCTTGGAGGGCGACAAGTTGGTGGGAGTGAGTCGCGCGTCCTCCGGCGGCGGGGGGGAAGGGGCAGGTGAAGCATGCCTCGAGCCGATAGGGTTGAAGCCTCGGCCCTTAGAAAAAAAAGAATACCTAGTGTATATTTTGCGTAAAGAAGGAATATATGAATTACAGAGCATCGCATACAAAAAGCAAAAACATAGCTATTTATGCAGAGTGTTCCTTGATGATGTGCTAATATTCGAGGGGCCGATTCTTCGACCTATCTCAATAATGAAACTTCATATGAACATTTGTCGTTAACGTCCTAGATTTAGAGATACAGGGTAGGATGTCAATGTTGAAAATATGTATAGATTTTTTTTTTCCACCCTGTATAGCTTTTCGTGATGGAAAAATTCAGTTTGCTATGTGACTGAATCGGTTTACTCGAAATGTTACATACGGTGGTTATCCAGTAATGGATGTCCCGAATGGAGTACTCAAACATCAAAATTTGAAGTCTTGTCTCGTTTTTTCGTTTTTTCGCGAAAACGAAGCGTTCTATCGAGTATCAACGAAAGGATCTCTTTAAATAGCCTTTTATAGCATTGTATGTTGTTTTTTTTCGTTGCTCTCTTTCAAGTAAAATATAAACGATAACTTTCCCGTAACAGTTCCACTGGTAGAAAAAATTCAAATTTTTTTACATCAGAAAATGCAACTTGATGCATGAAAAACGTGTACCAAATCTCAAAAAGATGTATACGATATTCTCTTAGTTATCATCAAAAAACTGAATATTTTTCTAAACTTCTTCACCCTGTGTCTCAAAAGTTAAGACTTTTAGGACATTCGTTCATATGAAGTTTTCTACTTAAAATGTGTCAGAGAATCATCCCCTCAAATATTAGCATGACTTTAAGGAGCACCCTGTATATCGAGGGAGCAAAGGTATCCATTTCCTCACGAGTGTGAAGTTTAATGCCTTAGGCGTAGCCGAGGACATTAAACACACATGGGAGGAAATGAACCATTGCTCCCAAGATATATTCATGATTCAAATCTTATACGTATCATACCTCTACCAGGGAAGCAAGCTAAAGCCAATTAACCTCCCAAGGAAGGTATTTTCTCCCTTGGGAGTGAATTGACAGGTTTGTGTCCTAAAATGAGGGAGCATACGCCTACTTTCAATGCAGTGAGTAGATCATAGTAATTTATATACCAAGGTAGAGTAATAATGAATATCATTATTACCCAGGGACCAAGATTATATCCAGAGGCTTCAGCCGAGGGGTATAAGGTCCCGTGGTAATAATATCCTTCACTACCAAGGTTTATATTGAATTTTTATTTTCACCAGTAGCATTTTATTTCAATCATTTTAGTTCTTTGAAACCAAAATGGATATGGATCAATTGTCACTTATAATATCACGAGAGCTTCAATGGGGAAAACCACTGAGAGAAGAAATCCGTGCAAACCTCTTTCAATCGACGAATCATGAGTTACGTTTGATGTACAATCAATATTATGAGTTGAAGTTGAAGGGAATCGAATATATATCGTTTTGAAATCAGCATATTTCATTCGATATTTCAAACAGCCAAATATGATGGTGGAGCCGTGACGTATTAGTCCCAACCTGTAGCTATCTCTCTCTGATACCTCGTCATTCTGCAGTGTTGCAGTGTGGTTGGTCAGTTCAAGGACAATAGGCGTGTTGGGACTAAGACGTCGCACCAGTCACAATAATGAATTGACAAAATTTCAAAAGGCGCAGGAATTGTGTGCTTTGAAATGGACATATTCTAATTTATTTTTTTCATCGTCTTAGCATGAATGACAAAATTCAAAATTAATTCGCTGGTAGTTTTTCAATATAAAGTACACGATGATGTCGTTTTAAAAAATCAGTGGTCTCCCCCATTATTTCCGGATATTAATTGAAGCTAAAGTGGTATTCGGTAAGAAAATTTCACACTGAAATATTATTAAAATATAACTTGGATAATGACGATTTTTGATGGTTTTGACATTTGAATAGTAGGCTCTGTATGTTAACTCAAAAGAATAATATATTTTTGTTATTTGCGTATGTCATTCTCCATGTCAAAACTGAAAAGTAGGTATAATCTCATAGTGTTTATATGAAAATGTATTAGTATTATTGATGAAAATAAATGCACATTCATAACATTGTTAGGTTAAATAAAACCCAATTAATCTACTTTAGTTACACAAAATAATGAGAAATGAATCGATAGTAGTTGACTTTTGAAATTTTTCACAAATTCAGTTCACTAAACTTGGTAGAAATATATTTTCCTGCAAGGAACCCAAAGTACTATTCAGTATATCCCATGAAATTTGCGCGCATAATATTATTAGGTTGAATAAAATATATTTGAACGACTTTAGTTGAATAAATTGAAGAAAAATAAGTCAGTAGTAAATCAATCTTTCAGTTTTTCACAAATTTATTCAACTGAAGTTGGTAGAAAATAATGAAAAAGGTGCCTATTTAAAATGATAGATAATAATATGAAAATAGTATAATAATAAGTTCTCTATTATTTCCAGGAGACCTAATATCTTAGTTATCCACTTTAGTTAAATGAAAGTTCTACAGAAAAGTTAATTATAGGTTAATATATCTATTTTCGACCAATCTAATATACTATAGTCGTAGCAATAATTTATTCACCGAATTTGTTTGGGATTATCAAATATCAATTGCTTCTGGCGTGTGAAAAATATGGAGCTCTTCGTGGATTACAACAGAATAAGATTGTTTCAAAGTACTACATATATTTCATGAAACATAGAAATTTTATACGTTCTAGTGAATGTTCGCTTTTATATTTGAAAAAAGGAATTTCAAAAACACTTAGATGATCAAGTTGAAAATGATGATTGTTTGGGATGAAATGTAAGAACTGACGTATAGTTACAACATGTGTTTTTGAAAATTTCGAATTTGCAAGTATACCTTCATAATATTATATGGTAAACTGTTGATGAATGATTTTTATTCATTGACTTATAGAATGAACTCGAAATAATCTGAAGTTGAATGTAAATTTCATCTAACCTATAAACGTCAAAAAATTTCCAGTGTAATTTCATGCTCCGTCCCCCAAGGAAATTTCCAAGAAATTTGTTTAGTTGCTATGGTAACGATACGAAATACAGGCTTCAAATCGATGGGAAATGTTTGGTATGAAATTTTCAGTTCAATTGATGTTGTCGTAAAACAACTCTGTCCAATTCCGAACATAAACCTCATCGGCACAATTCATCACAGAAACTCCTCTAAAACTCATCTGGTAAGGTCAATTCGAAGTCAATTGGAGCTGAAGTTTATGCAAAGTCAGTTGAACAGATCATCAAACGAATGTCGGGTCGCGCTGCCGCACTCTTTGAACTTTCAAAGGGACCGACGGATTGCGGTGATGGGTTTTTCCAACTGACTTTGCATAAACTATACTTGCACAGAAAACAAACTCCACACGGTGTCGACAGGTTTGAAGTTCCTCTTAAAGTCTGTGCATGTACGGATATTTGTTGCTCGAGGCGCTTCAATTGACTTCAGATAAACTATACCTTGGTACACGTTTTTGGGTTGAGAATGCTTATATCTTCATTTCATCACATTCCAAGTTTGAGTGTCCACATACAGTGTGTCCCACTTACCATGCTCACCATGGGTATCTTTTTAACGGTGAGAGATACGAGGTCGGTTAAATGACACCAAATGTGGAGTTTGTCAAGGCCAACTATAATGTGAAAAAATATTTTGATAAAATCTATTCGTTGTTGTTTTATACGCAAAAAACAGATTTTGATCATTTTCATGTCTCCTCCGTAACTTCTTTATTTATGAAAATATTCAAATAGGAATTCCACATTCTCATGGCAGTTTTTCAAAGTGATTTCGAAAAAAATATGAAATTTATACCTTCTCTTCTAGAATTTGAGATATCAGCACCAACTTTGGTTTTTCAAATGTAGGTCATAGCTCACTATGACTTGGTTACAAATAACTTTTTTTCTCTTACAGATGATAGGACGCAGTGATAGTTTTGTGTTGATAACAACGGAGTTATCGTCATTTATACAAAAACAAAAAATTATTTGGAAGCCGCCATCTTGAATTTATAAATTTCAACAAAAAAATCATGATTTCCGACCTCAAAAACCCCCACTCACCAATCTTGAATGGAATCGGACCAAATCTTGTCCGCCATCTTGGAGCAGCCATTTTTTTTTATTTCAAAAACAATTCCATAATGTATTGTCACCGAAATTATGAACACCTGCCAAATTTCAAGTTAATCGGAGTTATGGAATTTTCGTAGAAATTAAAATAAAATGGCTGCTCCTAGATGGCGGACAATATTTAATCCGATTCCATTCAAAATTGGTAAGTGGGGGTTTTTGAGGTCGGAGATCATGATTTTATTGTTAAAATTTATAAATTCATGATGGCGGCTTCCAAATATTTTTTTTTTGTATAAATGACGATAACTCCGTTGTTATCAACACAAAACTATTACTGCGACATATCATCTGTAAGAGAATAAAAAGTTGTTTGTAACTAAGTCATAGTGAGCTATGACCTACATTTGGAAAACAAAAGTTGGTGCTGATATCTCAAATACTAGAAGAGTTGGTATGAATTTCATATTTTTTTCGAAATCACTTTAAAAAACTGCCATGAGAATGTGAAATTCCTATTTGAATATCTTCATAAATAAAGGAGTTACGGAGGAGACATGAAAATGATCAAAATCTGTTTTTTGCGTATAAAACAAAAACGAATAGATTTTATCTAAATTATTTTCACATTAAAGTTGACCTTGACAAACTCCACATTTGGTGTCATTCAACCGACCTCGTATCTCTCACCGTTAAAGAGATACCCATGGTGAGCATGGTAAGTGGGACAGACTGTATAAGGAAAATGATTCTCACCTTGAAGGGGCTGACGCGACCCGTTGGGGTTGAACTTCCGGAGGCTGGGGTGCTGGTGCTGGTGTTGACGTCGCCTATGATGGCGAAGGAGGGCTGCTTGTGCCTCTTGGTGCCTGGCGTGAGCCTGGAATGATTGTGGAGATATATTTTCATTAATTATCGATATCCGATATTTTTTTCATTCAGTACCTCTTTGAAAGTTACCGAATATTATCGAAAACTATCAAAATTTATTCATATTATCGGTTTTATTGATACTATCAAGCTTTTGACGAATTTGTTCCTACCTTTACGTGCTCACTGATTTTGAAATATGTTGAAATCAACTGAAGAACTTAATTGAAAAGGAATATTATCAGATATATTTATGAACACAAAAAAAATGATATATATATATAAAGAAATACATTGAGAATTCGTATTCTCTATGTGATGAAAATATTAATTCTTACACGGTTTATTCAACAGAAAACAACTACTTAAAATTTCAAATCTAGAATACTAAATTCCTAATTATCTGCATTTCCAGGAGATTAGGGAAAAAATATTCTTCCCTGTGTACATATCTACTAAGTAATAATATACACGAGTCATCCCCAAACAAACTCTGTGATCTGAAGTGAAAACTATTTTCAGATTTTTTCATCATCAAATGTAAAGATAGCTGATCAAAATGATCATAGATATTCAATATTAACGATAGAAATCGGAATATGGCTGATGGCTGTTCCTGAATGTCATGAACATATTGAGAGAGGTTATTCCTTGGCTTATTCAATGATCAAGTTATCCTAATTCGATACGTTCTCACGTACAAGGATGTATGAGTTGATGAAAAATAATAAGCTCTATTCAGTTACTAGGCAACCGCCGAACAAAAGTGGAAAATATTCTATTGAAATGGTGTGAGGGCCTTAAATAGTAGCGCAGTTAGGAGGATACTATTGTTTGATTTTGAGTCAAAATTTCAAAATTGTACAAGCCATTTTGTACGAAAACATAGCGCCTATTCAAACTCGATAGGGCCCACTGATTTCGAGAAAAAACGGAAAAATGAGACCAGACTCCAGATTTTGATGTCAATGCTGAGAATACAAGGTGTTCTAGAACAACGTTCATTAAATTGAACAGGGTGAACTAGAGGGCAAAATAGGTCGATTAGGACCAATTTACCTCTATACGAAAATGCACCGTTGGGCCGTGAGAGGACGATGAATGACAATTTTTGTTTTCATATTTCATTGAATATTTCAAATTCCTTGATAGGTAATGCTCTGAAATTTGAGAGGCAGTCAACTATAAGAAGTGCGCATAGATAACAGGGCTCATCAGTTCAATCAATATACATGGAGAAACAAATTTAGCATTCTGATTGGAGAAAATCCATAGAACTTTTTTTGCGTACTCCTCAAACTGACACTGACCATATTCCAATATCTACTGGAATAACAAAATCAATCATCTATCTTTTTTTCTATCACTTTTTTTTTATTCAGCCTGGTTTACGAGATATCTGACAAAAATCTGTAGCCCCTCACCCAGTTGAATTCAATGTACGTTGTTCTGGAATAACGTTCGTATACTCTGCTGGGAGGTGCTCCTGCAGATAAAAATAAGGAAAAATTGTCCCTTCAACATGTCTCCAAAAATACTTCCTAAGGGCTCTAGAGCCTTGTGAAGGTAGGTCATCAAGTGCAGTTCTCTCAAATTATCTCGGTTATCATTGATCCCAGAATACGAAATTTGGTAATTAAGGGTGATTCGGTATTACAAATCGTTTCGTAAGAAGGAAAATATGATTAAATAAACAGGAAGGTACGAAACGATCCATATTTTCAACTTTGATCCATCACTGGCAATACCAGTCAGACGAACACGACAGGCCCAGTCCGCCCATCCCTTCGTCGACATCCTTGAAACATGTTGAACATCACTCTACCAAAACTCGTTCGTCTATAAAACGGCGAAGATTTGGAGTTTCCAAGAACTCATAAACTCCAGAAGTTCAAGAAAAATTACAACACCTACCTCCTCTCCCCATCATCCCTAGCTACGCACGATGTTTCCTGATCATTATAGGAATTTTCTTTCGTGCGCTTCAAGAGATAAAAAAAAACGAAACGATTCCAGACATATGTTGTTAGGAACTTCCAGTCCTAAAATATGCCAAGGAATCACTTTTCCAATATGTACATGATATTTAGGAACAATCTTCACAGAGTGTGCAGTTGAAATATCATAATTTCTGATGGAAATTGTATAACATAGGTGCCTACCTATGTTTTGAATCGTGAATATTTACCTTGGTAGTTCCAGAAAGCTAAATTAGAAAAAGTATATGTTACTGTGTGCTATAAACATGAATTGTGTTAGTTAAAAAATTCATCATATTTAATATATTTTATATTTGGTCTATTCTGCTTTCGCGTATATATGAACTACACAGTGAAGTTCCTTTGTGAATATTTTTGCCCGAGCCTTCCATAACGCCTCACACTGGACCAGGTATTGGTATGACATTCTATATAATATATGCAGTTAGGGCATCAATGGATTCTTATCCTATTGATCGTTGATTTCTACCTAATTGAAGTGGCACAAAATCAGTATTTCATACGCTGGTGGGTACCCACGAGAAAAAAATTGCCCAATCACCTTACTATTCAATTTGACGAATAGCGGGAATCGAACCCAAAGTTTTGAAAATTGGTGTACATGTTCACTTTGGCATGACTTTCAACCAAAAAAAAAGTCACCAGCTGTACCTGTAGAGCTAACTCCGCCATCTAGAAAAATGTGTGCACCTTTTCAGTTATTCGGTTATATCTCAATATCTGTTGACTTTATCGAGATCAATATACCTAGGTAAAATGAAGGTAATTGAATTTAGAAAAAAAAAGATCCCCACATAAATATTTGTGTAGTGCATGGTTCATCAGTAAATCGTAAAACAATATGCGATATTTGAGAAACTTACTCACAATTATTCTGATATAGATATATTCCATCTACAAGTAAATGTCAGAGAGTCGGCGCCACATTCGAGGATCCTCGCAACAGCGATCGGCCATTACAAAATACCAGTGTTGCCACATATCCAGGTTTTCTCAAGTGAGCCGACCTGTGACCTAAACTAAAGTAGCTCGAAGAGCAACAGTTTGATGTTGAAATAAATGAATTGTAGCCCCTACATAAACTCAATCGAATCAGATTTGAAATAATTCTGAGATATCTTGAATGAATATTGAAATGGAATTATTGCTTTCACCATTCATGCAAAAATAGCTGAACTTCATACAGATACAAAAAAGGAAGGGTTCAAGGCACAAAGCAAGCAGTGGACAATGCGGATTCGCTAATAATACAGACATCTATTGAAATGTCTTCCTCTACCCAAGTCACCGTTGTTGGAGAAGATGTAGATCTACTTAGCTTTGGCTCCAGCAGAACGCAACATTTATTTTGTCAAACCAAAAAGAGGCAATGTAGAGGCAAAAAGGTACTGTTCCCGCGAACTACAAACCAGTACTAAATTACAGAGCACTATCCTTTTCTTACATGCCTTTGAATGTTGTGATACCACATCATGTTTCTTCAGAAAAGGAAAGTCGAAATGATTCAAACTCATGAAGGACCAGCCGTCATTACGAGAAGTTGCGAAGACTTTCAACAACCCGGAAGGTACGAGTGAAGAAGTATCTGCAGCAGGTGAACGATTCGTTCTAGCTCTGTATAGTCCCCATACAACGGAAACATAATTGAACAAGCACCGGTACAATATGTTCGCTAAATCTGCTACCAACAAGAAAGTAGATCTGGCTTCTCTGCCACCGACGGAAGCAGCTTTTAGGCAGCACTCCTTCAGAGTCAATCACCAGATACAAAAGTGGTTGGGTAATCAAAAATGTCCTGAGCTTTGGGGGTGGAAGAGGAGTGCTGTTTGTCTGGTACCTGTGCCAACTACCCTATCTGATGCTCCAGATTCCTTGCTCCAGATAATTTCTTTCAATTGCAAGGAAGGATGCACGGCATCGTTTTTTCCCGTTTCATCCCTTATAAGTAATGAATACGGACGAACCCGACCCGATGCATGTATTCTCAAATGACGAAGATGACATGCTTTATTCTCCAGAAATTCAAAAAGAACACCAATCCCTACCTTATTTCCCTTGGTCTTCATGATGTTCTCTGAACATTACAGGATATCCCTTCTCGGGGGAACCAGAACATAAAAAAAGCGAATACTGATAGGATGAAACGTAATTATGATTTCAGCCTGTCTGGACTTGAATTGAACGATTATAACTAAAAAAAGCTTTTCTGCAAGTCACCAGGAGCGTATCTAACTGAATTATAGTTTGTCCAGTCGGTTTGCAGTAGAATATCATATTTTGCCAAATGGTTATGGCGACATAAGTCCAAAACCGTGGATATTTCGGAAATAATTGAGGGATACTTTTTTACGAGAAATTTTGTTAGCTTCTTTTTACCTCATTACCTTTATCGCGATAAAGTTGACAGTTACCGAGATATACGTGAAAAACTGAAATATTGCACCTATTTTCCAAGATGACGGCGCAAGCTCTACAGGTACGGGTGGTGACTTTTTTTTGATAAGATGTGATGCTTACAGGAACACGTACACCAATTTTCAAAACTTTGGCTCCGATTCCCGCTATTTTTCCTAAGGTGACTGGGCTAATACTATGGTAACTTGTCATGAAAACCCAATTCAATTTCTGTAGTAGTCCATAATCTTCTGTAGTAGTGCATACTCAAAGTACTACTACAATTTAACTGTATTAAAATCACTGGTGTGTGAAATTTTCATGAAATAACACAAATCCCAACATATGACGTGATGAGAATCCTTCGAAAGACACTTCTTCTCCGATGCTCACCTGTATGGCTCAGGCGCAGCTGGCGGCGCATCGGCATACCCCCTTCTGTCAGGCGGCAGCACCGTGAAAGCACCTGGCGCCAGGTAGTGCAGCCGCAGCTCCTCCTCCAATCGCCGACCTGCTCGAGGCGCCACCTGGCGGCTCTCCAACAGGCCCTGGCCCTGGCCCTGGCGGTGCTCGAACACCTGGCCATGGCGGTGCTCGGGCGAATGATAGGGCAGAGGTGAATGATGGGGCAGAGGCGAATGGCGCGGCAAAGGCGAATGGCGGGGTTCGGGCGAGCGCATCGTCCGAATGCGGAAGGACGATCAGAGGGCGTGGGACGGGGGCTCGAGGGGGTCATTCCCGCCGATCGCATCTGTCTGCGGACGCCACCTGGAAATTTTTTGAAACCAGTTGACTCGCGTTCTTGTAGCTGTATTTTAGTCGTAGTATTTCAGGGCCGGCCTTAAGAATATTAATCCAGTCAAAACAAAACTCTGTATATTAATATTAGTAGGAGTCGGGGGAGGATGGATGACCCCCCCCCCATCACCCAACCACGTGACCGAGTTCGATTCCCAGCGGTGAAGTTTTTTTTTAATAATAAATTCCGATGATGATGTCATGACGTCACACAATTTGAATTTAGCACCGTTCGTGGGGCCGCGAGTAGCTAGCCGAGTCAAGCCGGCCTGTGATTGGCTAGCCGAGTCACGTGGTTGGGTGAAGGGGTGGGGGTCATCCATCCTCCCCTGACTCCTACTAATATTTCAGAATCGCACTTACAAATTCGGAAAGAGCCGGAAAAAATAAGTGAGACTAAATGTATTTGATGTTTCCGCATAAAATTTTTTTTACCTATCAACTTGAGTCAGATTTATTGGTTACAATAATGATGGGGCACAAAATTAAAAAATATATATATTTGTTGTCCCCAATGGTACTTACCATTTATTATCCATAAAATCAACAACTATTTTTCTGTCTCCTAGTTTTTGGATTCCAAAGTAATTGAAAACGAAAGGACATGTCCGTATTTGGGACAAATTATTATTGCAAATGACTAACTTTTATGGGTAAGAAAATCATCATAAAATTATCATAATATTTGTTCATTGTACTACATTCAAAACAACAATTATGAAAATGTTGAACAATGCCAATTACGAAAAAAGCATAACTTTATTTCAAACAAATTGTATTGAGTTAAATTCATAGACATACAACATATTCATTATCACCAAATTTGTGTGTCATTGAGTAGGCAATAACTGTTATAAACGAAAAACTTTTCAACACAAAACACAAGTAAAAAGTACAAACTCATCAACTAACGTCAAAATTGTACTCTAACATCAGCCATCTTGACAATTACAACGATTTGGGATAGCAAACCAGAGTGTACGTACAGACTGCTTTATTTTATTATTATTATCGAAAATGCATCAGAAGAGTTGAGAAATGATCATTCTCATTTCATGTCACATAAATTCAATTTATTTTGTTCGAATTGGATAGTAATTGTATACACTCTTTTGAGAGCAACCATCTCCAAGATAATAAAAAAAATACTGTTTATCAAAATTGTACATTCCACTTTGTGAATAACTATAAGTAGGTAGTTATATAATTTCTGAAAAAGTTAATTCTGTATTTCATTACTATCATTATGTTCTTCTTCGCAGTTCGAGTTGAAATATACTTAAATTTCCTATTTCTTATATATATATTGTCTCATTCAATCATGAAATAGTCATACGAATACAACTCGTGATACTATTTAACCTGGAAATATTCGTCGATTGACATACTCCAGCTTGCTGCTCTAATTTCGCTCATGACAATGTCATTCACGAAATTACTAGGCAACAAGCTGTCGTAACAATCACCGAATATTTCTGGCAAAATATTATCACTTGTGGTATTATATATGAAAAAATTACTCAGAATTTATATTGAACTTGTCGAATAAGAAATCTCAATAATTCGATTAATATGAGGCATTCATCAAACCCATTTCTATTGTTTGTGACAATAACCAACCCCATATGTCGTCATTTGACTGAAATGAATTTTTTATTATACCTATCTGAAATCAACTTGTTTTCATCTATATTAGTAGGTAATATTGTAAAATAGTCTTTTTCAGGCTATCGCACGGAAACAGCGTACTGAAAAACTCTGAGAAGAACCATGGAAACGAATCATACATGCCAAACACTGATTTGTCAGCATTGTTTATTCTCCGTCAATCAAATTCATGCAAAATGAACTCTGAAGAAAATCCCGAAATTCCCGATAATATCCTAGACTCTAGAGCAAGAGGCACAAGCGACCGCGAATGTATTACCAGTGAAAACAAGGTCTAGTAGCTCCAAGTTTTTTCATTCCTACAACTGATGTGGAAATTAAAATGTTCCAAGTTTCTTTTGTGTTTTTTTGGTGTGATATTTTGTTATTAAATTTTCATTTTCATCGTAGTGTAATAAAAAATATCGTTCATTTTTCCGTGCTTGCATGACTTCCCGTGTTCGGCTTTTGTCACACGCGTACGGAAAAATGCCTATTTCCAGACTCGTAATGAAATATTCTATTTCAGGTTTACATCATCTCAACATCTAAACTTTGATAATGTTGTCTACATAGAGAGTTCACTATTTATTCGTTTTTCTCATTCACACTGGTAGGAACATCAAATTAACTTTTGACGGTAGCCCATTTCCAGTGTTTGGGTTAAATTTAAACGACACTTTCTCCCAAACGTCTAATACTATTTTTGTTTCGTGCTTGCGGCTTACTTTATTTTTAGTTTCAAAGAAAGGAAAGTCTTGAACATCCACTTGAACTGTCTCGAACTCATCTAAATTTGGACGAATCCCGAGGGTCTAGATGCCGGATGTACTTTGATTCATTATCACCGTATTTTTATTATCTAAGCCCCAAATAAACAGTCGTAGAGGAAATCAATGAAACCCATCTTTCGTCAATTAGATAGGTACTTAAATTATAGGAACGTCTTTCTCATCTGAATTTAGATGCAATTAAATATGTCTATCTCTACTACTACTTGATGTACATTCATACATTTGTAGCAAGTCCCAAATGATTCCATTTTGGTGAAAAGAATGTAAAAAATGATAATTTACAATGAAAGACAAAAAATATACAATCAAAGACGAATAATTTACAATCAAAAACAAAAACATAATACACATTTACGTTTCCCTCAAGAGTGGATGTTCGGCAACTGTGTTCCTTGTATCAAAATTGTGGCCAATTTTTTTCAAAATAAACTTTCATTGCTCACATGAAATAAAACATGTTCATAGTTTTTATGCTGGCAGGAAGAGCATTATATAATCTGAGATCATGAGAATTTTTTCGTGATTTGATGAGTTTGTAACGCTGAGGTCTAATAAGATCACTGTTGCGTGTATTGTGATTATGCAAACTGAATTGCTTAGGAAGCAGGGGAGCTTTTTTGTGAATCTCAACTATACTCGTATAAATATACATTGGAGGTACTGGCATTATTTTCTGATTTATGAATGAATCACGACACGAATCTCTGTAACCAATTCCAACAAGAATTCTCAGAGCCATTTTTTGTAATATAAAAATACATTGGGCATCACTAGAATTTCCCCATAGTAGGATCCCATAAGAAATATGAGATTGGATTAGTGAGCAAAAAACTATTTTCGATGAAGTGAAATTAGTTATAGGTTCTAGTTGTCGAAGTAAAAATAGAGCACCCGATAATTCACTCTTCAGACCTAAAATGTGGCTGAACCAATTCAACCTATTATCCAAGGTGAAACCCAATAACTTAACAGTTTGGAACTTAGGTAATGGCTGAGCCGTAGATATCACCATGTTTTGTGATTTATCGTTATTCATCATAAGTTTATTAACACTAAGCCAATAGTTGGCTTTTCCTTGTATTTCGACAGATTGATCAGCAAGAGATGAAAGATTTTTCGAGGGGTAAATGAGGGATGTATCGTCAGCAAATAATTAATACACTGTGACATGGTTTCATATAGTTGTAGAGATCATTAATATAAATCACAAACAACAGCGGACCCAATACCGATCCATGAGGCACACCCAGGTTAATTGGTTTCAGCCATGGATGGTTTCAGCTCAGAAAATTCATTGTTATAAAAAACTGCCTGGAAACGATTATTTGAGTATGCTTTTATTAGTTCTAAAGTAATTCCTCTAACACCATAATATGCAAGTAGGTAATAGATACCGTCATTTACTCATCTGGGGATACATGAAATAATTTTGTAACATATTTTGTTCAGTTACTCCCGTAGAATTCTGTTTATCTTTCTCTTCACGGATTCGCCCTGAAGTATTAGTATTAAATTGAGTCATGCATTATAATGTAAACACTAAAGGGGTAGGTTTTTACATTGGTACTTCTTTCGTGTTTCATATTGGGACTACAATGAGACTTTATAGAACATTGCCAAAGGCAAAAAAGAAAATTATCAAGATCACTTATCTTTTTCATTGGACAGAAACAGATCACTTCGTGGACTTCAAATTACTTCACTAATGATATTGTTTCTTATTGGAAATACTGGGTGTTCCACTGGTAAAGGGAAATATTTCAATGGTAGATAGGGGTCACCAAGGTGGTTCTGAAAATACTATATTTGATAGGTCTTAGAGTTTTCATAACGGAGATACAGGGCGATTTATAGATTTAGAATAATTATTCATTCGTCTATAAGTTTGAACTACCCAGTATATTTTTCTAAAATTTGGTATGAAGCTTAAACTTGGGACGTTGAATGCATTCACCTATCGGGTGAAGTGAAAATCCAGGTTCGGCTTCAGGAAAAATTCACATTTATTCGAAATATTCAGATAACACACTGTATGTAATAATTGACAAAGTTCATCAGAGGAATCGTGAAGAGGAGGAAAAACTGAACTGGATTTGATGCTTTCTGTTTTCCCGCCACCAATTCTCATCGTAACAATCATAAACAGGTAGCTAATAGTATGTCGATTTCAAGAGTATTAAAATTATGAAACCACTTTCAATTATGATTATTTGATATATTCTTGTTAAATGATCGTTCGAAAGAACTTACTTAGTCTCACAGTCTTCATAACAGAGATACAGGGTGAATTATCACTCGTCCATAAGTATTAAACTATACCCATCGCAGTAATATTTTCTCAAATTTGGTATTGAGCTTACTTGGGACGATGGATTCATTGACCTATCAGGCAGAATGGAAATACAGGTTCAGCTTCCGGAAAAGTCTCATAGTCTTTATAACAGAGATACAGGGTGAATTATCGAATTATAATTCGGCCTGATAGGTTAATGAATCCATCGTCCCAAGTAAGCTACATACCATATTTGA